TGCTGCCACCACGCAGCATGTAGCCTCGACCCATCTTGTGGCCTCCATCCATCCTACAGCCTCCACCCAGCATGTAGCTGCCATCCATCTTTTTCCCTCCACACATCCTGCTGTCACCTCATATCCTGCTGTCTCCACCTATCCTACTGCCTCCACCCAGCATGTAGCCACCATCCATCTTTCTCCCATCCATTCTCCCTCCACCCACCCTGCAGCCACCTCATATCCTGCTGCCTCCACCCAACATCTAGCTGCCATCCATCCTTCTGCCACCACCCAACATGTAGCCTCCACCTATCCTGCTGCGTCCACCCAGCAAGTAGCCACCATCCATCTTTCTCCCTCCACCCATCTCGATGCCACCTCATGTCCTACTGCCACCACCCAGCATGTAGCCACCATCCATCCTCCTCCCTCCAACCATCCTGCTGCCACCACCCAACATGTAGCTGACATCCATCCACCTCCCTCCACCCATCCTGCTGCTTCCACCCAACATATAGCTGCCATCCATCCACCTCCCTCCACCCATCCTGCTGCCACCACCCAACATGTAGCCACCATCCATCTTTCTCCCTCCATCCATCCTCCCGTTAAAGAAGAGGCATTTTTCTGTCTCTGTCGACCTAATAAGCGAACTTACTATAAGTATCCATTTATATTGTTTTGCATCCTTCCCTTGAAACAAACTTCCATCAGCTAAAATAATATATTATGGAGCAAATAAAACAGTGACATAACGATGTCACGTGCTGAGCGCAATTGTTTCTTCAGAAATATTTTCTTTAGAATCTTAAGTTTGGAGCATTATTTCGGACGTCTTCTCCCCTGCGGTGTCTTTCGGAGCTGCTGCCTCTCGGAGAGCAGCGTGTCACTCCACCCATAGATACTCCACCATCTGTTACGGAAGCACGGTCCGTGCTGTACTTCCGGGTCGCACGGGTCGTCCTTTTTATGAATCAAAACTGTCTTCGTTTACTTAGAAAAGCTGACGCTGGTTCAAATCCCGGTCCGGGACCGTTCTGGGTGGAGTTTGCATGTTCTCTCCGTGCATGCGTGGGTTTTTTCCGTGTACTCCTGTTTCCTCCCACAGACCAAAAACATGCATGTTAGGCTGATTGGTAACTCTAAATTGTCCCTAGGTGAGAGAGAGAGAGTGAATGGTTGTCTCTCTATGCGTCCCTGTGATGGACTGGAGACCTGTCCAGGGTGTCCCCCGCTTCTGGCACAGGGACTGCTGGACATGGGCGCCCCCGTGACCCGAAAAGAAAGAAGCAGATAAAGTAATGGATGGATGGAGAATTAGGGCCATGCAAAAAAAAAAAAAAAATGGCGTCCGTCCCTGGGTGGGCTCGAACCACCAACCTTTCGGTTAACAGCCGAACGCGCTAACCGATTGCGCCACAGAGACGTGGAGGCGCAGGCAAAATAATAATTTTTAATGCTAAAAAAGCCGACATGTGTTCAGCCTTTACACGGATTAACCATCTCTGATCCTCGAGGACTCATTTACAAGAGAGACCTGTGTCTTTGTGGAAGTGGTCTCCAGCTACAAGTACTTGGGTGTGCACCTGAACAACAACAACCTCAGCTGGAGCAACAGCACCACCAGCCGGGTCAAGAAAGCTCATCAGAGACTCTACTTCCTCAGGAGGAGACGAGCTGGTCTGGGAAGTTCACCTTTGTTTCTCTCACTAAAGCTCTCTAACGAGGTGCACACATTCCTCCCTGTTCTCCTCCTGCCTTTTAGCTCTCTGTCAGTGTATCGGAGCAGCTCCTATTTTTACACATCTTTCCGAAATGAAAAACTACTGTTTTGGATCTGACCGACTGGACTTTCGACGTAAATTACAAAATCTTTTCAACAAAGCGACAGAATCCTGGAGAACCCTCATCTTCTCGGACGAGACGCATGCAGCTGGATAAATCTCTGGAGGTGATGTGTCTACCTCTGCTGTCGACTGAGGACGACGGAATTGCGTATAACTGGATTCATGAGAACAGGTTTCCTGTTTTTGGAACAGTCTGGATCCTGGTTTATCAATGTACAAAGAAGACGATCGCAGCTAATCAGAATCAGAATAAGCTTTATTATCATTGCACCGAGATACGAGAACATGTGCACGCGGTTGTCCGGAAGATGGACGGAGTGCACGAAGCTGCTACAATACTAAGCGCGGCCTTTCTTAGCCTTTTTCAGAATAATAATCTTAGATAGGAAAAGGGAGAGAAACATGAGGGTAGATAGTGGTATTACATATTACTACCATTACTAATTTGGACCTCGTTAGGCTGCTGCCTATGTTAAGGTTGGTTCGTGCTCTGAGGACTCAAAATCAGCTGATGTACGAGTGAAACCGTAAGATGGATGTGATTTGAATCGCAGACCACCTGCGGCTTTGGGACTCGTCAGCATGAACACGACCTTGAAGAGGCTCGTAAGCGCGGACCAGTAGAACGCACCCCCTATCTGGCCATTTTGGACCTTGGAAGTACCAGCACAGACTCGAGGATGACAAGAAAAAACAGTCTACCTGAATAAATCAACAATTGTAGTTATTTGAATTAGACTCCCTGGTTGCCCTCGAACAGATGACTTATCAATTTCTCCTGGGTAAACTAAGGAAAAGCTTAGTCTATCACAACCCCACTCTCCTGTGAAGGCTTGTCAGAACGGTGCCGGCTGACCATCATCTTATCAGGACAATATCTGTTAGTGCTTCATGGACACCTCATCGTCAAATGCATATGTAATGTGTTCAAAATGTGTTGGCTGGCAGAGTTTTTGGATGTCTTAAATCGTGTCCTGTTAGGACAAGATGTGAAGAGATCTTTTTTGTAATGCCACTACCCTCTCCTCATGGCTTTGCCCCTTTTTCTATCTACAAAAAAATTCTGAAAAGCATAAGAAGACAGCGCGTTATAGCAGCCGCTACGTGCACTCCGTCCATCTTTCGGACGGCTGTGCGTACATGTTCTCGTTGTATCTCGGTGCGATGATAATAAAGCTGATTCTGATTCAGTCCTCACCTCCTTCTACAGGTGTGCAGTGGAGAGCATCCTGTGCTCCAGCATCAACGTGTGGCGTGGAGGCTGCACAGCTGCAGAAAGAAAAGCTTTGCAGAGAGTGGTGAAGGCTGCACAGAAGATGTTGGAGTCAGTCTCCCCACCATCACAGACATCTACACCTCCAGATGCAGGAAGAGAGCCGCCTGCATCATGAAGGACCCCGCTCACCCAGCACACACTTTTTGCCCCGCTCCCCTCAGGAAGGAGGTTGAGGAGCATTAAGTGTAGAACCACTAGACTGAGGAACAGCTTCTACCCTGAGGCTGTTAGACTCATGAATCTCTAACCAGTGAAGAAGGGAAAAAAAAATCACTACTTTTAATTAATGTTTTCTTAGTTCATATCTTAGATCTTACTAATGTTTGTCTTTTTACTCATTTACAAGAGAGACCTGATTTCAACAAATAATGATGACAACAATGGACAACAACAATAGACAATCATAAAAGAGGCATATGGATTTTATTTTTTTACAAATTAAAATAAGATGGCAAAAAAGTAGCAAAAACAACTGGATTATAAGGCGAATGTAGAAAACAAAAACCAGGAACATGTCTGTTAGTTATTGCCAGGAGTCCAACAGTTTCTTAAAACCACTTAGAGAGGTCAAGGTCAAGAGCTTCAGATCTTTTTGAAGATATTCCAGGAAACGGGAGCAGAGTAGGAGAAGGTCCTTTTGCCAAGTTCAGTTCTCACTGAAGGGACACTGCAGGTAATAATGTCCTGAGAGCGCACGCTGTAGCTGCACTCACGCAGAGACATGTAGGAGGTACGGTGTTGTTCATTTACACCTTAGAGCAGACCTGGGCATTGTACGGCCCCAGGGCCACACGCGGCCCTTTGGTTGACTCTGACCGGCCCCCGTAAGGGGAATTACAAAATACATATGTAAACAAATGAAGTTAACCAAATCCAGATATAGATCCTCTCTCAATAATGATGTCAGCTTTGCTTCACATCTCCACCTCAGACCTTCAACCTGACTTTAACATTTCCGTTAAAGCCCAACAGAGACTAGACTTCTCTCACTAAACAAGAAAAAAGAACTGAAAAACACCAAATGAGATGTTGAGACTACAAATGTAGGCACATAAAGAACCGGGACTCGAAATCACAGTTCAGTGACGATCACTATTATATGATGTTTCATAATATTTGGAGTACAAAGACAATATTGTGATATATTTACAAAGCTAAGAACTTTTTCCAGCAGTATATAAAACTCAAAATGAGTTTTGGGGTGAATGTGACTGAAAATGATCATTAATATAACGTCACAGATGGTAAAAATGTTAACAGTTTACCATTGTACTGGGAAATTTAATTGAATAAATGACATTTTTTGTAAGGAAACCTTAATCATAACAAATACTCTTACCAGCTTGTTAAAACAGTGCTATGTACTGCTTTTAATAATGAAATACTATTATTATGCAGTATTGAGTTAACTTAAAATCAGTTCTCTCTTGTAAATGAGTCCTCGAGGCTCAATGGGATTTACCTGTCTAAATAAAGGTTGAATGAAAAAGTCATTTGTGCCGGCCCTCCACAGTATTTGTTGTTTCTCATGTGGCCCCATGGAAAAAATAATTGCCCACCCCTGGATTAGAGCCACCGTAAGTTGGAGATGTATGAAGGCAAATAAAGGTTGAATAAAGACAACGTGGTGCGTATGACAAATAAAGAAACTCTGGGTTTATTTTCTACAATGATTCACTGTTTCAGGTTATTATAGTGAACGCTAGTATTTGACATCTAAAGCGGATTTTAGCTCCCGTGGATGTTTAAACATGATCCCACTGCGGCCTTTAGAGGGCGGCAGAGCGTCCGAACGCTGAAAACCACCGACGAAGAAGAAACACCGGAAGCGGTTTTGTAGCGGCTCAAGTCTGCAGTGTGTTTAGTGTTTTTTTTTTTTAAATACATTATTCTTGTTCTCAATTGGATTTCTCATTTTAAAAGTAAAGAAAACAAGGACGAGCGGCTGTTAAACAATTTGTCAAAATGAAGTGAGTGATTTCACTGCGACGTAGCTAAAATGAGCGGTTGGCGATTTGAACGGATTGTCTGGTTGGGGAGGTTTTTAACTTCATTTTGCTCCACATGTTGGTAGATGTGGTGCAGCTTTGTCACAGTTTAATTAACGTTTCAGGCTGAACATCGAGGGTCTGTTGGTGTATTTTCCCTATGATTACATCTATCCTGAGCAGTACTCCTACATGCTGGAGCTGAAGAGGACTTTAGACGCCAAGGTGGGAGAGTTCAGCCTTAAACCCAAAATACTGCAAGTTCAACTTTAGTTTGATTATGAGAGCAGGTCAAAGTCAACTCACATGTAGAAGTTCCCCTGGAGTTGATTATTATGTTTAAAAATTCTCAATCTGTCCTTGTTTCCTTTTTGATTGTCTTTGTTGTCCACTGTCATCACTTTTTGTTAAAATCAGGTCTCTCTTGTAAATGGGATTAACATGTATAAATAAAGGTTGAACGTTTAATCCGTCATGTTTTAAAGCTGCTGATGAAGATCCACGCTGTTTTATGTTCAGGGTCATGGAGTTCTGGAGATGCCGTCAGGAACCGGGAAGACCATCTCGCTGCTGTCCCTCATCGTCGCCTACCAGAGGGTGAGTTTGCCTCGATGCGTTCTGGGCTTTCATGCGGTTTCTGACTGAACACTTCAACATTCGAACACGTCCGGTTGTTTGTCTCAGGCCTTTCCTTTGGATGTGACCAAGTTGATTTACTGCTCCAGAACGGTTCCTGAGATCGAGAAGGTGAGTCAGGTCAGACAAAACGAGTGTAGAAATACAGGTGCATCTAAAAAACATTAGATGACGTTGAAAAAGTTTTAACGTTTCTTGTCTATTATTTCAGAAAGTGGACCTCGTATGCAGTATTAAGATTCACTACACAGAGTGAAATATTTCAGCTTTTATTTCTTGTAATTCTGATGATTATAACTTAAAATAATGAAAACTCAGAAACGGAGAATCTTCCACAGCCAGCTGTTTGTTGGGACCCGTGTCAGTGTGGGTCGGTGCCGAGTCCTGCTGGAAAATGAAACCAGCATCTCCGTACAGCTCGTCAGCAGAAGGAAGCATGACGTCTCTAAAATGTCCTGCTAGATGCTGCGTGGACTGAGGACTTGAGAAACCACAGTGGACCAGCACCAGCAGAGGACATGGACCCAAACCATCCCTGACTGTGGAAACTTCACCCTGGACTTCATTCTGGACCTCCACTCTTCTTCCAGACTCTGAGACTTGATTTATAAATCTTTCATGTGAAAAGACGTTGGACCACTGAGAGACAGTCCAGTTCTTTGTGTCCTCAGCAGGTAAGACGCTTCTGATGTTGTCTCTGGTTCAGGAGTGGCTGGACTTGAAGGAGACATTTGTAGCTCATGTCCAGGAGTTCATCAGCTGATGACACGAGGAGTTTATAATAATGAACCTCTTCACAATATTCTCATTTTCTTTTGGTTTTTCATCATCTTTAAGTTTTAATCATCAAAATAGCAAATGTTTGAAACACTCGAGTCTGTGTAATGAATCTATGTAACAAATGAATTTCACTTTCTGACATGATTGAAAGAAAATATATAACTCTTTCACCGTATTCTACATTTTTGAGATGCAGCTGTACATCTGCCTGCTCAGATATAAAAATGTGTTTTTTGTGTCGAGGTTGTGGAGGAGCTCAGGAAGCTGATGGAGTTTTACGCCAAAGAAACCGGAGAGGTGAACAACTTCCTGGCTCTGGCTCTTTCCTCCAGGAAGAATCTCTGCATCCACCCTGAGGTACAAACACCCCGTGTACAGCCCGAACACACGCTGAGACACGTTAACGCATTCTGAGCGCCGCGTGTCTTAAACTACGTGCACACAGGTGAGCGCTCTGCGTTTTGGCAAGGAGGTTGACGGGAAGTGTCACAGCCTGACGGCTTCGTACATCCGTGCGCAACGTCACAGTAACCCCAACCAGCCGGTCTGCCGCTTCTACGAGGTAAAATCTCACGTGAACTCACCAGAAAGGACTCTTCAGCACAAATAAGATAAATGTTTGATACATTCACCATCTTTTTTTCTACCTGGAGATATTTTAGAGTTTTATTTGTCACTCTGCGTTGCCACAGAGACTAAGTTTGGTCATCAGGACCAGCAGCTTCAACAACATTCCAAATAATAATGTATATATAAAATACAGTGAGTAAAAAAACATGTTTAATTTAGTTTATTTAGGTCTTTGGGTCCTTTTTTGTGTTTTTGTATTTTATATTTACCTTCTTGTTTTACATGTTAATTGGAGTAAATAGTAAAAACCTTTTGTTCAACTTCAGTTGTTTTTATATGTTAATATAAATAAATTGACATTTATTAACAGGGTTCATTATTAATGATATATTTTTTTTATCTCCAGTCCCTGAATTAAAAAAAAAAAAAAAAGCTAAAACAGAGCAGGAATAAAATATAAATATATATAAAAGTCTAGTAATTAAAAGAATAAAGATGGAATTTAAAACTCCTGCAGAGTTAAATGTTCGTTTTTCCTCCGAGCGTCTCGTTTCTTCCAACTCCACTTGTTCTGGGTTCGTTGCAGGAGTTTGACTCGGTGGGACGTCAGGTCCCGCTTCCTGCCGGCATCTACAACCTGGACGACCTGAAGGACTTTGGCCGGAGGAAAGGCTGGTGTCCGTATTATCTGGCCCGTTACTCGGTGAGTCGGGTTCAGAACAAACATGGCGGGTGTGGTGACGTCCTAGAGTTTTCCTCCGTTTCTTTATTTCCTTTCAGATTCTGCACGCCAACATCGTCGTGTACAGCTACCACTACCTGCTGGACCCAAAGATCGCTGACCTGGTGTCGAAAGAACTCGCCAAGAAATCCGTGGTGGTGTTTGACGAGGCTCATAATATCGGTCAGATTTATCTCACAGGTCGCTTTGAGACTTGAGGACTTTGCTGTGAGTTCAGTTTTGTCCTTTCTTCCCCGTCTCTCCGGACAGATAACGTTTGCATCGACTCCATGAGCGTGAACATAACGAGGCGAACGCTGGACCGCTGCCAGACCAACGTGGAAACGCTCCAGAACACCATCCACAAGTAGGAGGCAGCAGAACGCAGGGAGCCTTTGCAGTTGGTTGGGCTTCGGTCAATAACTTGACCTTGAGTAGGGAGGAATTCTGGGTAATCTGGGCTCTGATTCTTCTAGTCCTCGGTCAAATTAAACCTCGTACTGGACACAAAGACGAGTCCAATCGCAACGAATTTAACTTCTCAAATGTCAGAAAACATCAAATTTATTACGCCACGAAAAAAGGTTAAATCATGTCTTCTGGACAGTTTGTTTGGGAGAAACGTTTCGTCTTTCATCCAAAAGACTTCATCAGTGTGAGGCCTGCCACCCACATCTGTCTTATAAATAGCACCTCGTTGATCACTTCTCCCCGAAAGAAAACTGTCCAGATGACCTGATTTAACCTTGTTGTGATTTATTTACCTGGATGATTGAGCTTTCAAACCTCTTATCTAATTTATTACCATAACTAATTATCTACTTAATAAATTATATATTTATTGTCATCTGCCACTAAATAAATAGGCCAGTCAGAGTTGTGTTAAAAAGATGAAAATGTCTTTTGGCATTAAGAGAAATCACTCAAGTAATTTTATTTGGATGTTTTGATTTAAACCAGCGTCAAGTCGCAGCGGCTCTGCCTCTTAAAGCCTCAAAGATCTGTTAGCACTCAGAGTAGGCGTTGAGGGGGACCTCAGCTACTACCACCAACGTTTAGCTCCGTATCTGTCAAATGGACTGAGTTGTAGCCCATTAGTTGTGGCGGCCATCTTGAATCAGGTTGTCACCAACAGTTAATCAGCTGCAAAGGTACATCCACCTCCTGTAAGTTTCGTTAAAGTCGGTCGTCTGGTTCACGAGATATTTTGCTAACACACACTGTCACGTTCTTCCAGATGTCAGGGTGGTGGGTGAGACAGTAAACAAACGGTAAACAAACGTTCCTTGTTTTTAATTCAGATACTGAAATGAAAGGTGAAATGTCTCGTAGGATTAAGGAGACGGATGCTGCTAAACTGAGGGAGGAGTACCGGCGGCTGGTGGAGGGGCTGAAGGAGGCCAACGTTGCCAGGGAGACGGACGTCTACCTGTCCAACCCAGTGTTGCCTGACGAAGTCCTGCAGGGTTCGGCCATAAATATTTGTTTTGACGTTTGAACTCTGCTTGTTGATTGGTATTCACATTTAAAACTCCCCTTAACCCTTCTGCATAGATTATTAATAAAAAAATGTTTTAATGTAAAAACAGATTTAATCTGAAAACTTTTTTCATGTGAGGAATCGCAAAAGATTTCAGTTTAAAAGCTGCAGCCTCTTCTGTAAACTGACTCTAAAGTTTAAACCTGTAAAGTCAAGAAGTCGGATCGTTTTTCCAGAAGTGAAATTCTGTGAAAGTTCAAAAGACATTTGTACTTTTACACTTTGGGAGGAAGGTTTTACTTTGGGGGATGATTTAGTCCGAAACACAAAACGAATCCTGAAACCTCGACTGTTTTGGTTCTGGTCTTTGTCAGAGGCGGTTCCTGGTTCGATCCGAACGGCTGAGCACTTCGTCGGGTTCCTCAGGCGGTTCCTGGAGTATCTGAAGTCCCGTCTGCGGGTCCAGCACGTGGTGCAGGAGAGCGCCCCGCAGTTTCTCAAAGACATCTTTGACAAAGTCTGCATCGACCGCAAACCCCTCAGGTCCGCTTCGGTTCTGATCCACACGAGACAAAACGTTCAATAGTTGTTTTATGAGTCCAGCAGCAGAACTAAAGATCACTCCGTAGTTTCTCCTAAGCCGCCCGATGACCCGGCTCTGTGGTTCCAGGTTCTGTGCAGAGAGGCTGCAGTCTTTGCTGAGGACTCTGGAGATCGCAGACATCGCAGACTTCTCGGCCGTCACGCTCATCTCCAACTTCGCCACTCTCGTCAGCACCTACAGCCAAGGTACGGAGACGCTCCTCCGAGCCTCCCCACCTGACTCCAGGTCGGATTTTAAACGTCTCCACGAGCCGACTGAACGTTTTCTCTCTTTGTGAAGGTTTTACCATCATCATCGAGCCTTTTGAAGACAGGACTCCGACCATAGCCAACCCCGTGCTGCACTTCAGGTAAAGTCGGGTCCATGTAAAAACTTAGAGAGGGCGGATGGAGGTCGTCTTTATGGATGCTGCTACAGATGGACCCATTACAGACTGACCAACGTTGGCCACTGGGCCGTGTCTACACTTTATTACCAAGTAGGAAAAAAGATGCTGCAGCCGTTAGTCAGGGATTTTGAAGGGACTTGTTCTTGGTCTATGGGTTGAAGAATGTTCGTTTAAGTGATAATTTTTAATATTTAAAGTACAAAATGGTTCAAAAAACAAAAACATTTTGTCCACGGGCTGCCCTGACTTGTAAAGATCTGTCTCTGTCAACAAAGTGTTCGTTTTGAACGTTCGCTCATGTGACGAAGATGAAAGAAAACTCCAAAGTTCACGCTCGGTAATCCAGGTATAAAATCCAACAATGTTCAGTCGGGTCATTAAACAAAGTTGCTTCGTTTTTTACTGTCAAGAAGAAGAAGAAGAAAAAAAAATCAAACTCTGGACAGAAACGCTGCTAATTAAGAGTTGGAATTGTGATCTTCTAAAGTGGATTTAAATAAAATAAATAATAAAATTTGGGCGTCTGATCTGGACGCCTCCCTTTAGAAGTTTTCTGGGCACGTCCCTCTGAGGGAGACACCGGACAGGACCCAGAACTCTCTGGAGGGATTGTGCATCTTCTCTGGTCTGGGGACGCCTCAGGGTCCCCCAGGAGGAGCTCAAAGGTCTCTGGGGAGAGGGAGGTCTGGGTTTCTCTCCTGGACCAGTTGCGACCTGATTACTGGTACAGATGAGCCATAGAAGATGGATGGGTGGATAAAATCTTGATTTTATTTACCATGAAATGATATGGGGGAAAAAACAGAAATAAAACGTGTTAAAGACGACGTCTGCGTTTAGGCTGCACTAACACGCTGCTGTAATGATGATCTGCTTCGTCCTCAGCTGCATGGACCCCTCCATCGCCATCAAACCTGTTTTTCAGAGGTTTCAGTCGGTCGTCATCACCTCCGGGGTACGTCCAACCTCTTGTTTTTTATAATACAGTAGTCCCTCGCTACTTCGCGGGTCGTTTTTTGCGGACTTTCTCTATCGCGTTTTTTTTTTTTTTTTTTTTTCAAAATAAGATTGAACATGACACACAGTTGGCTGATTGATGGATGAGCCGCACGATCGGCATGACATTTTTATTTAAAATTATTTAAAATTATTTAGCACCTCCTGCACCTTTGTGCAGCCCACACTGCAGGAGAAGCGTCCTTCTGCAGTTCCACCTCCTTCCTCCTGTGATCTCCGTTCTGCTGCAGAGAAGTGGGCGTGGCCAAGAGGAGGCTGAGAGCTTAAATCATTCTGTGCTCTTTTAGAGCGTTTAGAGTTTAGAAACATTTATATATATATATATATATATATATATTATTTTATTTTTTTCAGGGTACGGATCCCCGTGATAAACGAGGGACTATTTTACCCTTAGCTGCAAGCTGGTGACCTAATGGTTGTTGTTTTACGAAGAAAAGTGAATCTTTTATCAAGTTATTTCTTCCTCTTTGTCCTCCGTCCTCACATCAGACCCTGTCTCCGTTGGACATCTATCCCCGAATCCTGGACTTCCGTCCCGTCACCATGGCGTCCTTCACCATGACGCTGGCTCGGACCTGCCTCTGTCCTCTGGTGAGTCTTTCCTCTCAGCGAGGGCCGAGTGGTCGGAGAGCAAAACCTAAACTCTAAATGTCGAAATGGAAAGAAGTGACGTGAGTTTTGTTGCAGATCGTCGGTCGGGGGAACGATCAGGTTGCTCTGAGCTCCAAGTTTGAAACCAGAGAGGATTTTGGTTTGTAAAAATCTAAATGTGTTTTTTTTTGTTTTGGCGTCATCCGAAGTGTAAAAAGACGCATGTTTGTTTATTTCATAGCTGTGATTCGCAACTATGGCAACCTCCTCCTGGAGATGTCGGCCATCGTTCCCGATGGGATCGTTGCATTTTTCACCAGCTACGTCTACATGGAGAACATCGTGGCGTCTTGGTATGAACAGGTACAGATGTTAAAAATAAAGAAGCCTTGTCGTCTTTCAAAACCAACATTTTTTCGTTTCTGGAATAATTTTACAGCTAAAGCAGCACAGCGGAGGCGGCGTCGTTTTTTAAAACTTGATATGCGTTTCTTGTTTGCAGGGAATCCTGGAGAACATTCAGAGGAACAAACTGATCTTCATCGAGACTCAGGATGCTGCAGAGACGAGCATGGCTCTGGAGAAGTACCAGGAGGTCGGAGACGTCATCGGACCCGGTTTTAAAACGGTTTATCTTCTGCCTGAACAGTTGAAGCATGAAGTGCTAATGATGATGCTCGTGTTTCCCGCAGGCCTGTGAGAACGGCCGAGGAGCCATCCTCCTGTCTGTGGCGCGAGGGAAAGTGTCTGAGGGGATCGATTTCGGTAAATAAACAAAAATAAACAAGTGTTTGTGTTAAATGATTCTGAACCTTGTTGTGTTTTTTTTGTCTCAGTGCATCATTTTGGTCGAGCAGTCATCATGTTCGGAGTCCCGTATGTTTACACGCAGAGCCGCATCCTGAAGGTCAGAACCAGCAGCGTTCAAGAGACTCGTCTTATGTTGGACGTCTTAACGTTACATCTGTCTTCTGTTGGACGTCTTAACGTTACGTCTTCTTCTGTTGGACGTCTTAACGTTAACTCTGTCTTATGTTGGACGTCTTAACGTTACGTCTTCTTCTGTTGGACGTCTTAACGTTACGTCCGTCTTCTGTTGGACGTCTTAACGTTACGTCTTCTTCTGTTGGACGTGTTAACGTTATGTCTTTCTTCTGTTGGACGTCTTAACGTTATGTCTTTCTTCTGTTGGACGTCTTAACGTTACGTCTGTCTTCTGTTGGACGTCTTAACGTTACATCTGTCTTCTGTTGGACGTCTTAACGTTACGTCGTCTCCTGTTGGACGTCTTAACGTTACATCTGTCTTCTGTTGGACGTCTTAACGTTACGTC